TTAGATCTCTATCAAATACTGGTAATTGCTTTAAAGTTATGGGTAGGTTGGTACACTTTCAGGTGAATTTAAACACTTAGAAATGTTCACAACTGAAACTTGTTCAAATACATTGTTCATGACACAAAAATATACATTACATCAGTTTTGAAAAGATTTTAGACTTTGTTTATTTGTCAATGACCTATATATACACTTTTGCACTGAATTAGCACAATGGGATTTATAAATGTCTAATAAACTGCACGTCAAGCATGTTGTCTGGCCTTTCCTCTATGTTGTCAGACACAGAAAATATGCTCAAGTCAGGAGCAATCTAAATAGAACTTGTGTGCTAATCATACTTAGGTGTATCTGCACTTTTTCCACAAAGACCAACACTGGGAAGTTTAATGTTTATTAAAAATAGGGAGCAAGTAAAGTCTTGCAAAATCCAAGGAGCTGAGACTGATGAGGGTACAGCGTCAGTGCAGGAGTCTTCAGGATCCACCGAATCCTCTTTGTGCTTCTTGTGTTGAAAGAGATAAAGGAAACAAAAACGGGATAAATTATATATAGGAGTTAGTATATAATACAGTTATGGTATTTATAATACCCCATTTAGCCTAGTGTGATTTGATCTAGAACACGGCTTGCTGCCGTTTTAAGCATGTTTTTAATCTTACTTATAAACTTCCATCTCCCTTTCCTATCAATACAAATCAGCTGAGCTAAATCAAAATATAGACAGGTAATAGTCAACAGAAACACAATGAATAAAAAACGCCAACCATACGTTTTTCCTTACTCAAATATGAAATCTAAAATAAGGATTTTTCCCCGTTATTGCACATTTAATATGGATTGAAACCGATATTCTCATTTTATCAATTACAACTATCACACTCCCCAATGTTATATTTAACCTCTGTTTAGAAGTATTTCCCTCTTATTACACAACAAAGGATAAACATGCATTAATAGAACGGGTTTAAACATTAATATGCTGTTCGTGGTTTGTTATGCGGTACTAACTTTATCCAATGACCTTTATTTTACCTGATAACGTCCCCTAAAACTACTAATTTAGAGAGCAATAATCAACTAGCATGCTTTAATACAGTTAAACTTACAAGTTAATTGGATTCAGATGTACTGATAATATACAATCTTATTCTTTAAACGTCTTACCTTTTAAAAGTGCATCACAAACGGTCTGTTCTGCTCTAACTCTACCGCGCTGCTGCTACTTCCGGGAACTATTGAGAGGCTCCGCGAGCCGCCATTGCTGTAAAAAACCGTTCCATTGGAGTCAATGGAGTTGTCGCAACTCTCACTCTATATGGCTCTGGATAGAACTAATTACTGAAATTAGTGAAAAGTTCATGAGTGGACTTTTACTTTCTGACGCCTGGACTTTACACCTCTGCCTGAGTGTTACAGTCACCAACCATGACAAAGACTTTTTAATAGCTAATTTATGTACAAATTAAATCCAGTTATTTGGACTCCTTGCATGGATAAATTGAATTATCATAAAATCTCAACAAGTATAGCATACAAGTGAGACATGCTGTAACATTAACATGCACAAACTGTGAAATATTTCTGTTAAATATTACAGTATATTCCAGGTTAATAACTGCACAATTTCACAGCAATTTCACAGAAAATAACCCAGCATGGATTGATTTCACTGTAGATTTTGACTACAGTACTTTATTGTAAAATAATACTGTTTAATACTGTAAATTCCTGTCAAATGTTTACAGTAAATCTACCCCCCCCCCCCCCCCCCCCCCCCCCCCCCAGTAAATCTACCCCCCCCCCAGCTAAAAAGAAAATCACAAACACTTACAGACATTACACATTTAGATGATGGCTGTTTTAAGTCCATGTTTAGCTCCAGGATGCCTCCTAATTCATGTTGCAATGGTGATGACCAGGAGCAGGACTGGAATCTTTACTCTCAAAGAAGAGAAGTGAAGAGAAAAACAAAGACCGAGACGGCAAGAGAAAAACAAGAAAAAGAAAAGGCAACGTTGTAGCTATAGAAGTCTCTGTATATGATGTGGATGAAGGTCTGTGAAAAAATCTATCTTTACTTACATTTCTTTATTTAGCAGATGCTTGGATAAAAAAGTGACTGAGGAAAAACACGGATAAAGAAGCCAAAAATATCAGCAGTCACAATATGCTATTTAAAGAATAAAACAGAACAGCCCAAAAAATTTAAATCTTCTTCTTTTTCTTTTTCAATCTGTATTTTTGTCTTGTTGTCCAGTACAAATATCTAAACATCCTAAAAACAAAATACATTTACATGAGTGAAAAATTGCATAAGACAATACAACGTTTAAGAAAATAGCTTGAATTATGTTAATTCTTCTTATCCCATTTAAACTGTTTAAAATAAATGTAAATGTTATTGTTTTGAGCATAAATCTAACAGGCATGGTTAAACTTAAAATAAGGTCAAACTATTTGGCATATCTTAAAAATGAATTCAAGATATACTCTCTGTAAACCTTTTTGCTCATCAACAATTGTGCCCCTCAAATATATTTCGATATTTTTCCCGGAAAATAAGGCAACAAATATTTGTAGCAGTGTAGACAAGAAATAAATGTGAAGAACAGTACTGAAAAGGATGTCTTTTTATATGGCAATAAGTGGCTTTATTTATATCTAAAGCTGTTTTTTATGGTCTCAGCAACCGGGTTAAGGCTGGATGCTTGTTCTACCATTGAGGGACAGTGAAAGTTCAGCACTGAAACTAAACACAGTGACTGTACAAAGTACATAAACACATAATGAGGAAAGCATTTCCTCACTTAATGAGGAAAGTTTATATTTGGTTGCTTGTTGTTAAACAACTTGCCGTTACATTTAGGAACTGTTTTACATTTGGAACTTGTATAACTGTAATCACAATTTGCTATTAACACTGTCTTTACTATGAGGCAGAGCTTAATAACTCATGATTTAAATTCTGGGTTAAAAGTCACCTTAAGCTGTTTTAGGTGGTTGTTGCTGAAGGTTTCAGTGCTCATAAGTGTCAGATTGCAAGACTGTATTCGCAGAGACAGGGTTAGACATGAATGTCCTCTGGGAGTTGAAGCATGGCTTGCAGAGATGCCAATGCTCTTTTTCTCCTCTTCTCTTGTGACAATGGACAGGTGCCTTTGATTATTCCACCTTGCTTACCCACATGAACGATCACCATTGCCCAGGGAGAACTGTTAGGTGCACAGATGGCTCACCATTGCAGTTCTCCCTCACACTTAGAGAATAAGTGGCAATTTAATATATCATGTGAGCAGGACAAGCTCTGGTGTAATTGCCGTGAATGCTCTCTCCTCCATTTCACTGTCTAGGAGATAAAGTAGGTTTTTCATCTAGCACCCAAGATGGATAATGACTTCATCCAGGTTATCAGAGATGTAACATATGGGATAAGGTAGGGACCCCCAATGTATACTGAAAGGAAAGCCCCATACTCCCAATGCTCCTAGAGTTTTGGAGAACCCTGACTTGCCAATATTTCTGAAGACTTGACACCAGCAGTCCATATGCAGTCATCCTTTTGGCCAGTTGAATCCCATTTCAGTTACGGAGATCCTGCAGAGTTTAGCTACAGTTTGTCCCAACATACCTTCCTGGAAATTTCTAGTAAATGTTGATTACCTTGGTCCAGGTGTGTAGGCTCTATGCACGATCGCTTCCGTGTTTTGTCTCAGCCCGCCCAGTTACATCCGGTGCTGCGTCGGAAGCCGTTTTTGCATTAGGTGGAGATAATGGCAAATTACACTCGCTGTTTAAAAAGAAACTTCCAGCGGTTAACATGAATGATGTTAACAATATTGTGAGGCAGTTAGCTGTCACACATAAGAGTAAGAAAGAGAAGGGCATTAAATTATATATTTCGAGCTACATCGACAACTTTGAGGGTGAGTAATCTCTCATGCGAAATCCGACTAGCGAATCAGTTTCTAAAATCGTTGTCTCGTTTCTGAGAAAATGAATTTTATTAAAGTTTGGCCGCTAGTACACTTCGCTATAGAACTTCGCTATGCGGAGGTAAAGACACTGGCTGAGATTCTACCAGAAATACGTCAGCAGCGTTCGTGCATAGAGCCTATTGGGGCTAAACTCTGCAGGACAGTCATGGTCCTCCAGGAGCAGGATTTGAAACCCCTGCTCTTGACCAGGGGACCCTCCAAAGACAATTTCCAAAAACATCTGACTTTTAGTCTGGTTTTGTCCCAGAGGTCAAGAGTGCCAGGAGAACACAGTGTTCCTGTATTGCAACACTTCCTTAGCTTTTAATCCTATAACTTGCAAACCCTACCTTGTCCCAGAATCAGGGGTACCGTTAGGTCTCCCAACAATCAGACACTGACTTGGCTATGATGGGCATGGGCATTGAAGCACTTGGACAAGGTTGTAGTACTCAAGACCGGCCTCTGCCTGAAGTCCGAGCTCCAAGACCATATTTTCATGGTCTTGGGCTTGTCATGGACTTGGGAGCATTTGGATTTGGCCTTGAGTCAGACTCATTGCCGATTTGTGCATATGATGCACTCTGTGGTGCTATCGTGTTTCTCCGCAGGAGTGACACTGATGCAAAACCAGGTTTTATTCACCCTGAACTTATTTACACTGTTCACACCCTCTTCAGGTCTCTGTATTGTATCTGACTCAACCCTCTTCTAGTTTTGGTCTTGGCCTTGGACTCGAAAGAGCTGGTCTCGACCACAACACTGGGGGATAGGTATCCTCCTCTTGTTAGCACTGCTCTGGGAAGTATGGATAGTTGGACTAGGCTTTCCTTACTATGGGACAGAGTCTGAAAGGGCTGAGTATCATGAGTCATTGGGGCAATCCTTTTACATCAGTCCTGTGTGATCACCGACAGGTCATCTCGGGTGGCTCATCACTTTGATCCTTAGTCATTTATCTGATGGACTTTTGTGTTTGCTAATAAGCATTTGTTCAATTTCTGTTCTGTTTCTCCATAGTGTGAAAGTCGCGGGGAATTGCTGGTCTCACTGTCCTACCATCCTGTTACTCACAGGCTTAATGTGGTGGTTCTTAAGGCCAAACATCTGCCAACCATGGACATCAGTGGTCTTTCAGGCAGTAAGTGCACAGGACACATATACACAAAAATACACACTCTTAAAAATAAAGGTTTCAAAAGAGGGGGGTTGCAAATATTATATTTTGGGTTCCCCAAAGAACCTTTTTTTCTTATTGTGAAGACCATTTTAATAATCTGAAGAACTTTTTCCACTATAAAGAAAAGATGGAATGGAAAGGTTCCATGGATGTGAAATGTTCTACATGGAACCATAGATGCCCAAAAAATCTTTATTTTTAAGAGTGAAGATACTCAAATAACTCCATTGATGATGCCAAAAACGTATCAGTATCTAACCTCTCACATCATTATTTCTCTTCTCTACCTACAGACCCTTATGTTAAAGTGAACGTCTTCTACGGCCGCAAGCGCATAGCCAAGAAAAAGACGCATGTCAAGAAATGCACACTCAATCCCGTTTTCAATGAATCCTTTATCTACGATGTTCCCGCTGAGCTAATGCCGGACATCTCTGTGGAGTTCCTGGTCATTGATTTTGACCGCACCACGAAGAATGAGGTTGTGGGTCGCCTGGTTCTGGGTGGTCAGAGCCCAATTCCATCAGGGGTGACTCACTGGAGGGAAGTCTGTGACAACCCAAGGCGGCAGATTGCCAAATGGCATAACCTTACAGAGTACTAGTGTCTGGCTAAAACATTGGGAAAGCAAAGTGTATTATTCCACTTCCTTCCTGTCAGCCCCTCTATAGAAAGAAGCCCATTTAACAATCTCTCATATTCCCTATATAGATAGGTGAATGAGTGGATGAGTATGTGTGAGTACAAAGGACCAGGAGCAGTCTAACGGAACCACTTAGTAAGTTCTCTAATAAACTTATAGCAAAAAAGTCTCAGTCATAGAAAAAAGAAGAAGAAAAAAAGTAAATATGGCTCTGAATACCTGTATGAGAGTTATATCCTTAGAGCCTTTCACCAGTATACAGGCATATTCACAATATACATACACTACTTTCAATTAGCCGCATGCTAGAGATAATGAGACACTTTTATATTTAGCATAAAGGAGGGCGGTAAGAAAAAGTGCGCTTAGCTCACTTTTTAGGAAAATAATGGGGTGAATTTTTCATAGTAAATACGGATGAATGGTGATTTAAACTGGACGCCATCATGAACATTTTTGCTAACATGCTAATATTTACCACAGAAGGAAAGGTAGAAATATGGCTATTATTTAAATCCATTTAAAAAGTTTTTATTAATGTGTTAGTCTTTTGATGACGCTGAAAAAACAAAACAAGCAAACGAACAAACAAAATAATAAAACTCTAAATATCTGTTAAACAATACTTGGTTTTTAAAGCAGAGTTTTCAGCCAACCACCAAATAAAAAAATAGTGATCGTCAACTCAAGATTAAAAATTAATTTGATTTATGAAAGCACTCTAATGTTACATACAGTAAAGCCAGTCTACACTGTCTCCATGCAGTAGCTGCTTTATTTATCTGTAGCTGTACTTATACTTTATTGTTAATTTCTCCATCTTGATGACAAAGCACTTCTATGACATATTTACTGTTGCATATCTTAAAATATCTACTATTCATTGACTGATTTTTTTTTTCTTCAGGCATATCTATGCACATTTCCATTTTACTGCAAATGACGTTTTGACCCAGTTGCTGTGCTGCCATAACACAGAGATCAGGGAAGGTTCGTTCAAAAAAGTTGGAGGGAAATAAAGATTAATTAACAGCCAAAGCCAAATATGACAGATATTAGCATATTTGGGTATTGTCTGCAAATTTGTACATTTTAAGTGTACCTAACATCACAGTTTTAATTGCCATCAAAATTCTTAAGGCAATGCAACTAATTCTTAATGTCTTTGGTCAAGATGTACATAATGTATCATAGGGTGTAACACTGGTACTCTTCGATTTTTTATTTTCATAGTACAATTGAATATCGCCAAATATATCTTTTAACCTTTGACATATAAAGGGTGTCATGAAATAACAGAAATTCAATTTAGCCAGATCTCTAACCACCCCAACCTGTTAGGTTATTCAGTAAGTTAGTCTATATGAATTAAAGCAGATATATGCAAATTCAGAACAATTTTCTGCACTTTCGTAGAGTACTGTATTTATTTTTATGATTTGTTTTCAAAAGAAAGAATATATATATATATATATGTATATGGTATATCAAAAACCTAACAACTATGATATGACTAATAACTGATCATTTTAGGATTTTGGCATGAGCCAGTAACCATTAGTCAGCGCCAGCTGTCAAAAACTAGCTAACCAAAGTAGATGGACCAACGTTTGGTGGTGTGTATATCGCACCCCTGAGAAAATTGAGCGTTGGGGACCGCGATGAAGCATCTCACACTGCAGTCTCACAATAGGCCCAGAGTCTATGTTTGAAGACATGCAATGTGGATGTGGATGTGTTCCTAATTATGTCATTCGGTGCCCACAGCCCCTGAGGCAGATTTAAATGCCATTTTCCCAGTGCGAATGAGCGCATATTAAGTTAGTAAGGCAGAAAGTGGGAGGGTGAGAGGAGGAAAAAGAAATCGACTGGCTCATTAGAGATATTTCGTATTTAACGTGAAATTAATATAGCAGTAAATTAGGCCCAAGCATTCTCTGCAGTCAAGCTCATTGTGAGTTTTAAAGACCACATAATGAGATTAACCATTGTTTATTAGGAGAAAATGAATCACATTTCAATCACATTTTCATGAAAATCAAGAAACCATGTGCCCATCATCCTAGTCCAGACTTGCTATTTCACTTTCAGGCTATACATTTACAATAGAAGAATGAATTTTTCCACCTTCTAGTGTGTTTTTTTTTTTTTTTAACCCTGCATGCATTCACTATTTAAATTTCTGCTTCAAAACTGGTGTATATATTACAGTTTTTAGTGGTTTATATGACAGCAAAACCCACTTTTGTAAAAACAGCAACCCAAATTACACAATGCAACCTAAGTGAAATGATACATGCGTGATTTTCTTTACTTTAACCCTCAGCTCCTTGTGTTACTTGGAACTTTTTTGATCTTTTGGGCATAAAAAGCTTGTTTTATATCAATAATTACATAAAGAAGAATATAACCAACTGTAAATGAGTGTTTGTTCCAATGCACTGGTGGGCAGTAGCACTTTCTGCTCTTCTTGTATCTAACTGTTTTACTTGGAATGGAAATGGTTTCTTTTTGTGTAAACCTCATGTTTTTATGGAGTACTATCTGCCCCTCTTTCTCTCTCTGCCACTGGTCCCTAACAATCCCTCAGTTTTTTGCTGTTGTGTGTTGTACAAATACATTGAAAGCTGAACAAAGAAGAAAATGAACTGAGAAGAAAATTATTGTAATAAATATATTAGTCCATTTGGATAATGCAATGTCGATATGTGAAGGTGGAGTGAAGTTAGTGATTCAGCTTTATTTTAGGTGTCCCTAAAACGACCTAGATGATAAACAGTGTTAGTTCACCACAACTGTAGTGTGATTCATGTTGTTACCTGGCCTTTTCAATGTAAGTACAAGTTGTCTATGTATAATGTAAGTACAGTGTAATAACATGTACTTTACATATCTAGCTTAATACTGCTCATTTCACTACATGATTTTCAGGGACATCTAACATAAAGTGTGAAGTGTAATGCTTTTGAGGGCAAATTATCTGCATACTGCTGTGAGTTTATGCTAAATACAGTATGTTACACTAATGCTGACTTGTACTGTATGTTGAAGTTGTTAACACAATGGACGTGCAAATAAAATAAAAACTGATACACTAGATCAGATCTTCACCTCTTTCTCTACTTTAAAGATACATTGTCAAAATCATTTCAAGTTGAAACCTGATTTGAAATCTATCGCCTACTCACCCCTTATTTTGCTCAATTTACAACAGCAAGTTTTCCATAAGGGAGTGGATCAAAAAATAGTATTTTTTATTTTTTGCAAACTAACAGCTACACCTGACAAACAGAGCTGGTTGCATAAACTGCTGTGACTAGTCTTACAAGTTAGTCAACTATGTCACAGCCATTTTTAATCAGTAACATAAAAACATAGATTAGTCTAATTTCATTCCGAAAAGTAAGACTGATTACCCTTTGGTTAACTGCTAGATGGTCAGACTAGTTCTTATGATACAGACTTACAGTCAAAAAATGCAAAAATGGTGTGCACATCCCAAACACCCAAATTGGGCTCAGGTGTACTAAGTAATATAAACAAATAAAGAAGTGTGAAGTCCGCACACTAAAAATTACTGCTCCAAAAGAATTTATTAAAAGGAACGTTTCGACCCTCGGGTCTTCATCAGGCACAATATCAATGTAGAGTGAAGTCAACACAAGTGATCACCTTAATTGGGCACACACAAAAGATCATATGACAAATACAAGTAATGTAACAAATGTGAGTCACATAAATTTTTTTTTTATTTTATTTTACATCACTATAAAAATGGCTTAATATCAAAATCCTCATTCAACCCTAAAGGTGAAAGGTTCTCCTCCTCTTGAGGATTTTGTTACCTTTTCTATACCGATATACTGCAAAGCGCTGACGTTATGGCCTACTTATCTAAAATGAGACGCTATAGGACATGAATATCTCCAGTTCTAATGTTACTGCGATGTTCACTAATACGAGTGCGAAATTGTCTGAATGTTTTACCCACGTATGCAAGACCACAAGGACAACGAATTAGATAAATCACATGAAAGCACAGGTAATAGCGTATCGGAATATCACGACCAGTGCGTGGATGATTTACATTTGTGTGTAAAAGCACACTGGGCGCAATTGGCACACCTGTAATTACCCGGAGGAAGAGTTGGAATACCTTGTTTTGTACGTGAAGGATTTTCAGATTTTACAAGCAAGTCATGAAGATTGTTTTGACGTTTAAAGACTAATTTCGGACCACAGTCAAAAATGTCAGATTGAATTTAGCCTTTTATTTATTTTGCTAGAACAAAAACATAAACAGAGGCTAGAATGAACCTCATTGGTTCTTGCACGTCAAGCGAACATGCTTGAACTTTCGCTTACCACAACTGATGTGAAATTTGATGAATGTTTATGTGAATAAAAGCCTAAATTCAATCTGTGAATCATAAAGTTATCATGTCTCTTCAGAAAATTTGGACTAAACTGCTCAATTCATATGGATTAGTTTTAAGATCTCTTTATGAACTTGTCAAAGAGTCAGTTGTGTAGCTGTCAATGGAGGGACAGAAATCTCTCAGATTTAATCAAAAAGACCTTAATTTGTGTTCCCGAAGATGAACGAAAGTCTTACGGGGTTGGAACAACATGAGGGTGAGTAATTACTGACAGAATTTTCATTTTTGGGTGAACTAACCCTTTAAGATGGAGATTATATACCATATATTTATTTTACTGTTGCATATTTCTATCTTTACTCATACACTTTTAATTTACTATAGTTTTACAGAAGTAACAATAACTGTACTAACTAGTCTTTAATTGATTTATGTATTTACATTTATTTATGATATTAATATTTCATTCTATAACTTATTACGTTATATAATTACGGTTCTACTCTGTCATTGTCAATTGTTAATGGCCTGTAATAATGCGGGCTTTAGGACCCAGCATCTGCACGCTGCTCCAGTCGTCCATGGCTTTGTATGTTTACAGTGAGAATTGTATGGCAGGAATTTTCTAACATCAAATATTTAAACATAATTTGCATCGATACAAAAGTCCCAATGGAGACAGAGATCCTGTGACACAGGTAAGCCACCAAGTAACTCACTCGGCTTCTAATCATAGTTTTATCATGTACAAAATCACACTTTTTAAAAGCAAAATGACTGTAATGTAACGGCGGCGGCTACTATGTTTCGTTAGTTTATTTTATTTTAACGACTCACGTGTTTGTTTTAATAAACGGTCGCTGCAGTATAATAAGCTTACTCACTCACATCGATGAATTGTGGGCTGTTCTTCTTCAACAACTTCAAAAGAGTGTTAAAAGTTTCGCGGCGATTTTGATGATCACTAAAAGTTTATAAAATAAACGTTGCAATTTTAACTAACAAAGTTATTTATACACATATGATGCATTGTCAAACGCAGTATGAATGTCGTCGATGCGTTCTGTCTATTAATATCACAAACTATTGCATTGCAGTTAATCCCGTTCTGTCGTCCTGTTCATTTCAAACTCGTCCATGAAATAATTACCAGCTTTTCATCTTTTGGTAGTTTAAAATAATATTTTTTCGTGGTTATGCAAGTTTCCCTTTTAACTTGGACATATTTAACCCGGTGGATTCAAGGTTCATTTGTGCCACTCAATGACAATAGGCCTTTATATTAAAGTTCCCTTTCAAACGTACTATAGTAACCATAGTTTCCGCCAACATACCTCAGTTACACAGTTACAGTAATCAAGTAGCTACAATAAAACTGTAAGCAAATTATATAAGTTGATTTTGAAGCTCGAGGCCGAAATAAGTTTAGCTGGTTTATTTTCTGTACATTTTCTGTGATGTTTATATTTTTTCCAACATTGTTACCAAAATATGCATCATATCTGAATAGTTTAAAACTCATATTTTTGTGTTTTTGCAATTTTCTAACAATAAACATTAGATCTTATAAAGTGTAAATACTATAAATTATATATAGCCTATATACCCCAAAGTGCACTATAGTTACCAAGGAAAATAAGGGGCAACAGAATGTCCAATACCAGCCAAAATTTGGAAACAATTGGTTAAATTTATGATTCTCATGACTGATTGAAAGTGACAATAATAGGGGCTGTAGAATAATGATTGTGTCAACTTAAATAATTTAAACCCTTTTTCGCATTTATTCGATAATAAATGGCTGAGCCATTTATTACCAACTAACAATGTTAAATCCAATGTTGGACACCACAAGAGCTGCTCAAAACTTTTTCTTGCATGGATACAATTTTCGATTGCTTTCCCATAAACAATGACAATCAATTACGACAGCAACACAAAAACTCAAACACACAAGATATTATCAAACAAACATTTAGTGTTATTTCCACTGTTGGAAATCACATAGAAGGGCTGCCTGCTCTAAAGTAACTAATGCAGCATCACAGTCGATGACAATGGAAAAATGCATCAGATAGGGGTACACTGGCAGATAATCTATTATTGACCGTGTTTAATGTAACACCCACCCTGTGGATGCTTCGCTTTGTCACATGAATAGCTCGACAGAATGACTCACTTCCTCTTCTCCATCAAACAGAAGCTTGGGTGTCAAATGCAGCCTCGACAAGTGCTTTTTTTCGGAGTGTTTTTTTGATGTTCCGCTAAGGGCCGCATTCATGCAGCAGTGCAGCTGTGGAAGTAGAAACTGAGTGTTCTATTGTTTATTATGATGACGTCACAAATCACCAAGGAGCATCTATCTATCTATCTATCTATCTATCTATCTATCTATCTATCTATCTATCTATCTATCTATCTATCTATCTATCTATCTATCTGTCTGTCTGTCTGTCTGTCTGTCTGTCTGTCTGTCTGTCTGTCTGTCTGTCTGTCTGTCTGTCTGTCTGTCTGTCTGTCTGTCTGTCTGTCCCTCCCTCAGTCCGTCCGTCCGTCCGTTTGTCTCTAAAGTATACTTTAAACTTGAACCTTTACACTTAAAGTTTTAAACTATTTTAAACAAGATTTTGTGTGATGTGTGTTTCAGTGATTCGGATGGAGTCCTCACGGAGCACAGGGGGTCACTCCCGCGAGTACAAGTTGGTGATGTTAGGAGAAGGGGGTGTGGGCAAAAGTGGTAAGTAACTTGGTTCTCTCTCCCCCTTTCTCTTCTTCTCTCTCTCTGTTTGTCTCTCCGTTGTTGATGTTCTTTCTTTCTTTCTTTCTTTCTTTCTTTCTTTCTTTCTTTCTTTCTTTCTTTCTTTCTTTCTTTCTTTCTTTCTTTCTTTCTTTCTTTCTTTCTTTCTTTCTTTCTTTCTTTCTTTCTTTCTTTCTTTCTTTCCTAAATCAAGTCAAATTTATTTGTATAGTGCTTTCACAACACACAATACATGTGTTGAAACAGCCTTACAGAAATGTATACTGTTATGTCTATGTTAGTGAAGTTCACAACGTAATTTCGGGAGGAGTGAACCCATCTAATCTTTCAATTAACTGCCGGAGCATATAAGCAGCCACTCACCTTGCTCTGGCATCAGCTGTTTTGGCATTCCTCCACCTCCCCAACTCCACCAACATAATTTAACGCTACCATACTCATCATCCAAGCATTTGTAGTCCCACTGCGGGGTATATCTAAGCTCAAGTTAAAACTGCTTCCTCTAGCCCTCCACTGCGGACAGCAAGCCAAATACGCTTTAAAGATTATATGGGCAAAGGAACTCGTGAAATGCATTTAAGGGATAGTTCACCCAAAAATGAAAATTCTGTCATCACTTACTCACCCTCAAGTTGTTCCAAACCTGTATGAGTTTCTTCTGTTCTGTCAATGGGTGCTTCAGCAGAATAAAGAAACTCATACAGGTTTGGAACTACTTGAGGGTGAGTAAGTGATGACAGAATTTTCATTTTTGGGTGAACTATCCCTTTAATGCTTTTAACATTTTTAAGTGATGATGTTGAGAAATATAAAATACAGCTTTAATTTCGATGAGTGATGTCTCGGTATAGAGACAACAAGACATTTTTAGAAATAATTACTACCGGTATATTGTGATTTCCTTACTTTCCTTACTTAGCTTGAACATTACTCATATTGTGTTAAAGATTTTGGTCAAATAGCCCTGCTCTAAGTAGCTTAAACAGGGACCTACTAGAAAGTCACTTGATAATGCTTAAATCCACCAGTGATCAAGTCAGAGGTGACTGTGGCAAGGAACGACATTTTGATTGTGGTGGCAGAAAAAATATCTCTCCCCCACTTTATCCCATCCATCTCCCTTAATTTTTCAACACTTTCCTTTGTAAGTTATTATATGTTTTCATAAAGGATATGTAAAGGCTACTGTGTGTTTAGGAACATATTTAAGCCAGGGACACACCAAGCCGACGATCTGACGTCGGGTAACGTCAGGCCGTTTTTGAGTGTCGACTGACGACTTGGATTTTTCCCCCCGTTTTTTCAGTGTGTGGCTCTAGTCGGATGCCGTCGTTTTTTTTTTTTGTGGCCGATTCAACAAGTAGAATCGGCGTTGGGCTGTTGGTGAGAGAGAGAACTCTGATTGGCTGTTCAGTTTAGCGAACGAGTCAGTGCACGAGAATAAGAGCTAGAATGATGAAAGTGAGCACAGAAGTCATGACCATAGACAGTAAAAGAAATGGACACAGCGACCCCATAGACTTCAACGGAGAAAAGTGAAGTCAATTAGAAGCACTCACTTCCTGATTGCCAAGCATACTGCGCAGGCTCAAACTGAGCTTGACGACGTAGATGTGACGTGAGCAACCTGACTGACAGTTGTAAGTCTTCTAGTAGCTGTGCCAAGAGGAATCTGAATCATTCCCTTCCGAATATTGCAGAGCCGGAGATCGTGAGTATTAGCTGTCCATGAGCTCGTAGCAGGATCAACTTTATGACTCTCTATGGGCTTCTCCCTTGACTTTATGCCTCCACGTCCCCCCGATTGCGTGCAAGCTTCTCCTTCTGTCTATACGGTAATTTCTCTACTGTGCGACAGAGAGTCGCGTGGTTATGACGCAACCGTTAGCCTATTTTTACAAAAAACTGCTTCTACGGGACCAAAACGTAGATACAAGGTAATAAAGCCTTTTATACATTGTCGTGTTTCTTTAGAAATAAACAATGGACAAATGGAGTCTTTAAACGCCTCAGATGTAAAGTTATTCGCTGTCAAAGTGATGCCAAAATGAATGGGAGTCAATGGAATGCTAACAGCAGGTGATGGCTTGCTAACCAATGGCGGCCCCCAGGGTAGCTTCAGTTTCCGGCTGGTGGATTACCCCCTTGGTCATGACGGGACAGACAGAAAGGCTGTTCTAGTTTTACGTCATCTTACCTGAGCATTCCACTGCACGTGATCAGATATTCAAAACGGTAAGCAAGCGCTGCTTTGTTTATGGTTTGTATACCTGCAGTCTTACTTTTGCTTTCCCTTTTTGAATGATGAATATAGACGAATATATCTGCTAGACAGTTATCTACTTTACACGCAGGCATAGAGCGCGCATGGTAGCTGACAGTCACCTGTAGTCCTTTTATTGATGCTTGATTCGTTTTATCAAAATCACTTGACCAATGACGTTCGTTTCACACACACCCATGTGACTGCTTCGAAATCGGATAAAAAAATGTGCGATACAGAGGGTGCCCTCGTGGTTTGTTAAGGTGTATTGCGTTGCATTGAACTGTTTGATGTAATGCAAGAGTTTATTGTTGCAGTATAAAATATTCCCATTCCACTGTGACTGCATTTCTTAAAGCAGTGTCACTGTCATTTACATTGTTTCAAAGGACTGCACTGGTCCCAGTTCAAAACACTTTAAGCACTACCCTCTCCCCAAGCACCAGTAATTCTAAAGAACACTTCTTACAATGATCATAAAGCACAGAGCCGCTCTAAGCCTTGCCCATCTGGGCCACAATACATTGTTGGTCTGTAGTAGGCTACAGATTTACGATAATCGTGTGAAAGTGTGTGTGTGTGTGTCTTTGTGTGTATGCACCTGCATTTAATTACTTCCTCTATTCATGAGTTTTATTTGTTAACAAACAGGAACAATTTCCACATCCGCAATACAAAATGTTTTCTTTATTGTTTTGAGTTACTAGTATATGCAATGGAATGGAACAGATTGTTGTCATGTATTTAATATATTGAATTGATTCATTAATTTATTCATCCATTCAATCATTCATTCATTTTTGCTTCTAAGATTAATGCGTTGGTCGGTTTTGAAACATTTTGCGAAACAGCGCTTTCCCTCACTTTCACCAGCAGAGGTCCTTGTCGAGCTCTGATTTGAAAAGCTTCGAGCAATGAACAATTGTCCGATACAACTGTGTTGAATGTTTCGCTGGTTCAGAAAGCTTCACTTCGCCATCGCTACAAAATAGCAACAAGGATACACTAGAACTAGAAACAATCAAATACACAACTAGAACAAGAGCATAGATAAACTGCAGACGCATGCAAACGAACAGGAACACACCATAGGACACAAAACGAACCAGCAAAGACATGAAGGAAAGAAACACAATATAAAGGGAGCAGAGCACATGAGGAACAGGTACACACAATCAGGCAAATGAGCACTACAAGGACTAAACAAGGGGGTGTGGTAACGGAAAACAAGGAAGCGGGATGAGAGGAGCACAGGGCCAACACAAACAAAGACAAAGCCATGTGCTCAGGCACAGGACAAACAAGGAAACATTAAACAGTGACAAAACAGACAAGACTGTCAGAGCAGGACCCTGACACCATTTGGCTGTTCTTAAAAAAATGTGGGCTTCTCTGGTCTACTGTCTGTGACATGACAGTTCATAATAGGGTTTGGGACTGTATGCAAAGATGGCAGATTTGAAGCTGAGCAACTGACCACTGAGAATGCTAATGCATAACTCTCTCCAGATATTATGGACCTCTTTGGTCAGACTGATTGAAATGCTCAAACAAAAAGCAATGTTGAAAGTGCTTCAAAATCACAATTTTCACACTTTTTGGTGGCTTGCTTATAATTGTCTACATGGCTTGACATTAACATCCGCCAACCGCTGGTGGATTTCAGCAATGGTGTGTAACGCAGTCACTCCTACTAGCCACTTTGGTGGGTTGAATTATATATAATATATACATTTTTTCAATTGTAGTCTTTTAAAAAGTGCATGTACTGTTGTCAAAAAAAATATATTTTTCGATACATATCGATACTGAAATATCTGAAATGCTTCCAATACTCATTTTCCGCAGAATAGATACACGATACCAGCTGCGCTTTCTCATCTCTCTCATCTCTCCGACAGCGAGATGACACATAAACCCGCCTCCCCTCACTCATGCGTTTCATTTGCTCCGGATCAATATTGTTGGTGTTAGAGGGCTTGATTTTCGTGCGCGCACATAAAGCAGCCTCTCAGTACTAAATTGAGTTATTTTTTCGCAGCTTATTGCACTTAAACAGTCAATTACACACAAAATATTGTCAAAATGCCGGTCTTGGCGAGTATTCACGTAAACTCAAGTCAGTTGTGTTTTAAGAGAACGTAAACAGTTGAGAGAGATAAATCATAATGGGTCTGTGCGTCAGGTCTTGACAGCAGTCAACTTGAAAGTGACAGCAGCCTAATATACCGGCTGCCAAATAATGAGATAATATTCAAAATATCTATATGGCAGTTTTTCCCCATGGTACCGATGTCAAAATTGTGGCCAGTAAAAATGCTGAGTGGCTAGTAACTTTGGAAAATCACTAGCCACAGTGGTTGGTGAGAAAAAAAAAAGTTAATGTCTAGCCCTGATTGTCTATGCTATATCATAATTTAAAATAATGGAAATGATGAAATTTTTTTAACATTTTCATACAATTTCTTCCTTTGAATTTAACATGAAATGTTTTTGTGCGATTGACCCTTGTGTCTAATTTCTTCATGCTCTTTTATTGGGATATTTTTCTCCGTTCTCTTTCACTGCAGCCCATTATTGTGGTCAGACAGTGGGCTGGTTTACAGTTGTAGACATACAGTCCCTGGCAGCCAGACAATAAAAGTGTGGGTGTTGGCTCAGTGCTTCAGTCTGGTCGTTATGAAGGCGCAGGTGCCTAGCAACTTCCTTCGCCTCCAGGAGTCTGTTGCCTAGGAGATGAGCGGAGGTCACCTGGAGAGGATGCATGAGCTTTGCTCTCCTTGTTTGAGAGTGCACTGCAGAAGGTTCTTTAGGGTGACTGATATTCTCTCTTTATATCGCTGTCTCCATGGGAACAGAGCAGAGAGCGCATACAGAGCAAATACATGCCGACAGCAGGGTGTGTTTGCTCCGCATGAGGGAGAAGGGGGAGTTGTTTACACTCCTCTTGTTGTATTTCATGATACCACAATTATGTAAGAACTCTGCTTGTCTCTTTCTCTTTGTCTCATAGCCATCATCATGCAGTTTATAAGTCACAGATTTCCAGAGGATCATGACCCTACTATCGGTGAGGAAATATCTAACATGTCGTCTTAACTTAACAGTTAATTATTAAATTACATTTCATATTGATATTGTGTTACATTTTTGTGACCTCACTGGTATAGATGAGCAAAGTATTTTCAGAAAGAATTACGGTGAATTCAGGACGGCTGTCAAAAAGTGGCCCAGTGAGTCTTAGCCTAGACATTTAATTTGATGCAAATTAATGGAATAAATATAAATACAAATACATATATATATTTAAGGTTGTAATACTTTCTGCTATCCAAGTTGAATGAGCAACCTGAGCAACCAGTCATTTTTGGTAGTGTCACAGAAATGACACATTTTATGTTTGAGGTGATGTCAAATTACTATTTTTTTTTGCTATGTTGAATCTATTTTGCTGTCTCTGTCTCATACACCGTTCAAAAATTATTAAATTAAAGATTTTTTTTACATTTTAGAAAAAAAGTATCTAATGCTCACCAAGGCTGCATTAATCGCACACTTATCGTGGAATTAAGCATACACTTCTTTTTAGCACGTTCATTTTGTCATAATTTGCTATATCCATCAACGTTTCTATATCTATCAAAGTAAATCATTAGATTGAAGGGTGATTCTCACAAAACTGTGTTTTCTGCAAGTGTTTTTAGGTGTCCAAATAGCTAATTCATACATTTATGCAAACCAAAGCACCCATGAAAAAAAAACATTACAGAGAAAAGACACTTTTCAGAATTCACAGTATAGTATGTGCACAGTGCAACAGCAAAGAGCTTGTTTACATTTTAGACAAGTCAAGTTGCGATATTGAACAGAACCACATGGAGATGTCAAATAAAAACTTGAACCATCCGCCTTGACCTGACTGCATATACAGCACACGGATCCATTCAGAATTACTAAACACAGCAACATACACATGACAAATCAAAACAATACTGAATGTGTGTGGGAACAACGTGAATGTACTGAAATGTGTCAGTGCATAAATACAATGTGCGATCAGTGCGTCGATGTGCGTTGAAAACTTAACAGAGAAGAAAAATTGAAATTAAGAATAGAAATAGTTTAAAATAAAAAAAATGTCCTCCTACCAAAGTTACAGGTGCTTGCGCCATTGTAGATGCTCAGTGTGATAAACTCCTGACTTCTAAGATCATGTAACTGCGTGACATAAATTTCGTTCAGTAATTTATTTGCAGAAAATTATTTGAACGCATTAAGGATTTTGAATTAATCACATGCGTTAACGTTGACAGCCCTAATATATAGTATATATATTACTAACCCCAAACTTTTGAACAGTAGTGCATATTCTGTCTTTACTAAATGTACCTCTTTGAGTTTTTTTTTCAGTTTTGCTGTTTAATGTTTAATGTTTAATGGTTGATCTCTCATCAACCATTGCATTATGTTCATGCATGTGTTTTTACTGTTTTTAGAGGACGCCTATAAAACACAGATCCGCATCGATGATGAGCCAGCAAACCTGGACATCTTGGACACAGCAGGACAGGTAGGCGGGAGGGGTATTGTGATAAAGATGAGCACATGGAAAACAAAACAAGAATCAGACAGGCAGTGAAGTGGAAAAACCTCTGTTAAAAAGTTTAGTGAAGTCAAGTCAACTTAACACTCTATTTTGCAGACTATAAGAGGGTCGTTCTCCTTCAACAATATGTCTCACTTCCCTTTTTTGTTTTCGTCTTTGCGGCAGTCACTTCATAAGACAAACACACACAGGCACAATGTTTCTCTCTGAGTCAGCTGCTTTTTCCTCATTGGATCACTCAGCACTGTTATAAAATACATTAGTCATCTCATCACGAGTTTAATGAAATTTTGCCTACAGTATAATAATCTAGTTTACGGTTCAATTGGTAACATTGTTGAAACATTCAATGACTGTTTCATAATGCATCTGTGGCATTATGTCAATTAAGTCAGAAGTCGTGACCTTTACTAATCACTTGTTTAAAATAAAAAATAAATCCTTGTTTACAGGAATGCACTATGAATCCAAAAGTATAGACATAAGGCCCGTTCACACCAATGAAGATAACTATAAAGATAACGAAAATATGTAGTTCAAAAAATCATTTTCAATATTAAAGAATAGCAGAGTTTATACCACTGCTATAACAATAACGGCACAGAGATACGATATCGTTGTCGACGATATCGTCAATTTTATCCAGCTGATGAACGATAAAAACATTGACATCCAATCAGAATCCATCCTGCTGTAACAAGCTCAAGCTTTTAAAGTGACAGACAAGCACTCGCTTAGAATAAACAACGATATCATCTGTTGGTGTGGATAGTAATATAGTTATCGTTATACTGTAGTTATCATTCTTGGTGTGTACGGGCCTTTAGATGTGAGATTATGTGGCAACATGGGACTAAGGTATGGAATTCCAAAGCTGACATAATAAATACATAAATAAATATATCCGAAGTAAATATATCCGGAAATATATACAAAAATAAATGAGTATTTATTCTTTTATTTCCTTATTTATGTATAATTCTATTTTTTTTCCACATTTTTTTTTTCATTTATTTATTTCCACATTTATGTATATTTGTTTTTATGTCTACATTTATTTATTTCCACATTTATTTATAGATTTATTTATTTGTACATTTCTTTGTCCGTATGGTAATGAGGGGGCGTGTTTTACCTTAGACATAGCAATCAAGCTCAGAATGGCAATGCTGAAGCTTTGAGGCCACAGTGAAACCTTGTGGTGTGACCAAACGAAAAGCGAGCCTTTGCAAGTCACACAGGAAATGAACGACTTATGGACAATATGGCCAAAATCTTACAGTATATCATGGTTTAAGTAATTTAATATCACCCTAACTGTATGTGTATTGGGTGACCATACATACTCTTTATCCTGGACATGGCCGTAAAACATCGTCCGGTTGGGATTTCTAAAATGGCTTGGCACACATGAACAGAAACCACATCTTCAACAGATCTGATAACAGATATTTCGACACAGAAGCATATACGTGTGAAATTACCCACTATGGAAAGAAAGTAAATGTAGACATCAATACAAATATACATAAATAAATGTGGGGAAAAAAACACAATTATAAATAAATGTGGAAATAAAAGTATATAAATGTTTTTTTTTACATTTATTTGTATATTTATTTATGTATATATTTATGTAAAATTCCACAGGAATTACATCGATAATATTTAACCAGATGTTCACCTGCCTATGACAGTGGTTCCTGTTCAAATAGCTCTTTAAAGCCTAATAATAATAAATACATAATTATATCTCCTATTGGGTGATATAAATTGATAACTGATATTTATATTTATTTTATGAATGTATCTCATTGATTTACATTACAAGCTATCAGAATTTCATCTTACTTTTTGGGCAAATACATATCAGCAACTGCTGCTAATTGCATGTTAGAGCCTCTGTGCTCCATATTCTCACTATATCATACTATACGTATGTTGATGGATGATGTATCAAATATAATACTCAAAGAAAAACAATATGACCAAACTTTTCTTTTAACCAGTTTTTATATATTTGGTCTAAAGGTTCAACAAACGGTTCCATTTATATATAAAAAAAGATTTTTCTTATGTTAGGTTTACAGGGTTAATATGAGATTAATCTAATTAATATTAGATGTATTTACCCAATAGACTTCCATTGTAAATGAATAACTATAAACATGATTTTTGTTGGTTTACAACTTGAGGGAGGAGCTGAAACTGTCTGTGGTAATCGATAACATGCCATGAATGCTCTTGACTGAGCTGCATTGATTGATGCATTGATCTTCGGAATATTTCTATAATTTATCAACTGATGTTGTCATATTCATGGGTAGGTGGATGGACAAGGCCTCATGTATTTGTCTTAAACCAGGCGGAGTTCACAGCGATGCGTGATCAGTACATGCGAGCAGGAGAAGGTTTCATCATCTCGTACTCCATCACGGATCGCCGCAGTTTCCAGGAGGCACGGCACTTTAAGCAGCTGATCTACCGTGTGAGACGCACCGTGGACACCCCCGTCGTACTGGTGGGAAACAAGTCTGACCTGGCCCATCTCAGACAGGTGAGAAAATTTACTGGAAACCCTGTACCTATAGAAATAAAGTGTTTATATAAATATTCACCCCCCTCAGATTCGGTTGCATAATATTGTGTTACGTTAAGGAACCATGATGTATCACATTAACACAAAATACTATAGGCTATAAAATGATAGATATTTTTGGCAGCAGTTATAGAGCACTGCAGCGATGACATATTTTTGTAGGCCAACCTGCAAGTTCACCTCGGTTCCTCAACAAAAACCCGATTGGATTTTGCATTATTACAGAACATAAGCTCTGTGACCAACATAAGTTTATGATTCTTACACATTTTGTTAATCATGATAATCTTCACAAATGAACACAACTTTAATGAATTTTGAATCCTAAAGTAAAAAGCTAAACCTAATGAACTACACTAGGGTTGCATGACTTCAAAGTCACTCTCTTTCGGTCTTCATTTCAAAACATTTTCCCTGAAAGTGTGAATTGGAATATAACAAGAGCGTGATTATAAACACAACGAGGCTGTAAAAAGCAGACTAGTGAGTAAATGAGTTTAAGCTGTTCAGCGTGATGATGTTTAATGTCCCAGACGACCTCTTAAGTCCCATTTGGACACTGCCTTTTCCAAGACAAGTAAAATCACAAAGGGATATTGCTGATGTATTTTATGTTGTAGAATTAAACATTAAAAAATCTTGCGCTTGTGTTAACCACATACCTTATTTCTGACATTTAACATAAAAAAAAAAAAAAAAAAAACACATTGACTTCAGGGCGATGGAACCGGAAGTGCTCAAATGCAACTCATTTACAGGTTTTGGCCAACAAAAAAACAAGTGGGAGCTTTTCTTATCCAGCTGGAAGGGTACCATTTATGAGGAGCAATTTAAACTGTTCCACCAGTGCTTAGTATTGGATTATTGTATTTTGACCAGGACTTTAATCTTTTTCATTTTTAAGTCATCTTTCAAAGTCATTGCACAATTTGCACTGAAGGTAATTTTTCTGTTCTCAGCTCCATCCATGTTCTTTCTGTCTTTATGATGTCTCCATTGCCTGCCAGAGGGAAGAATCCCTAATGCACAATGCTGCCACCTCCATGCTTCACTGTAGGGATGATGTGTCATTGTGATGTGCTCTGTTTGAAATGCGCCAAACACAGTCTAGCATTGTGCAGTCTGAGAAGAACACATAATCTTCCTGGCCTTCACATGCCTTTGGGCAAACTCTAGCCAAGATACCATGAGTTCACTTCACTCTTTCGTACAAGCATCTCTGTCATGGAAGACTGCAACTTCTAAAGAGTCGCTGTAGGCTTCTTGATGGCCTCTGTCTTACAAAGGTTCTTGTTGGCTGTATACATAATTTGGTAACACTTTAGTTTAGGATCCATTTCTCACTATTAACTAGTTTCTTATCAGCATGCAAATTACTAGGATTTGGCTGTTTGTTAGTACTTATAAAGCACATCTTAATGCCTTATTCTGCATGACTATATTCTACGTCCCTTAATCCCTAAATTTAACAACTACCTTACTAACTGTCAATAAGCAGCAATTAGGAGTTTATTGAGGTAAAAGTCATAGTTAATAGTTAGTTAATAGTGAGAATTGGATCCTAATCTAAAGTGTGACCCATGATTTTAAAGGATGTCTCAGTCTGTTCACATTCAGTTACAAAGTACTACATTTTCTCAGCTTTTTACTATAGGCTGCATTGTGCATTTGGGATATATGAAGCCCTGGAAAGATTCTTACTGTACCTTAACTGGTATATTTCCAAAACCACTAAACAACCAATTCTAGAATCGCCACCACAGTGGTTGTGAGGGCGTTGCTGTGTGATTGCTAGATAGTGCTTGAGAAAATTAACATTAATAGATTAATAAATGCTGTGAAAGTGTTTTATAGTACTCATAAGTGTCCTTGTTACATATGTTATAGTAATAATAATATAGTAATTACCATAGTAATAACAGTAATTTATGCATAATTACATGCAACTAACCCTCAAACAAATCCTAATCCTACCCTAATCCTATAGTAAGTACATGTAGTTGCTTAATATTACTCGGTACTTAAATATATAATTACACTGTAACAATGACACTTTGAAATAAAGTGTAACGTATTTTTGTACTTTTGTGTTTAGTGTATATAAACACTGTATACTACCTTTTAAAAAAAAAGTTTAAGGTCAGTAAGATTTTTAAAAATAATTAAGACATCAATAATGTTATAAAAGGTTTCTGATTTCAATTAAATGCTGTTCTTTTTAGCTATCAAAGAATTCTGAAAAAACTAATCAAGAGTTTACACAAGAATACTAACCTGTTTTCAACATTGAAATTAATACAAAATGAAGTTATTTCAAATAAAAAATAAATAAATGTAATTACTATATTACAATATTACTGTTTTAAATTTTTTTTTATCAAATAAATGCAGTCTTGGTGAGCAAAAGAGACTCTGAGGCCAAACCTTCGTCATATATGACTGTTATAAACTTTTTACACTTACACTTTCAGGTGTCTGTCGAAGAGGGCAAACAGTTGGCGAGAGAGTTCCAGTGCCCGTTTTTTGAGACCTCCGCAGCGTTCCGTTATTACATCGACGAGGTGTTTGCCGCACTGGTGCGTCAGATCCGCCAGCGTGAGGCCGAGATGGTGCGGGGAAGCGAAAGGAAAACCCGACGCAGCCATTCTTTCTGGAGTCGCCTTAAAGCCCCCTTCCACAAGAAACAGCAGTCCGAGCACTGAGAGAGCCACAAAAAAAAAGGCCATGTTCGAAAACCGTGGCCTTCCAGATGATTGTTCTCTCACCTACAGCTGTATTAGTCCCACCTCTTTCAGATGGTTTGGGAACTGTATTTATAGTTCATGTTTGATTGTTTGCAATGATGCACTCCCAATCGTTTTGGTTAGACTACAACCCTCACTGTGCAGGACACACTCACTCGTCAAATGGGACGTGGGCTGATTTACTGATATTAGAGATTACGAAAGAAATATTAAACTTGACAGTAGTTTTTTTCTTTTCTTTTTTGGACAGCATTACACTTTGTGAAAGTGAATGTCAGGGGGAATGTTGAACCTCATTTTAACTGATGGGAATGTAGGGGACAGGGCATGGAAGGATTTGCCACACGTGTTTTGTAAAGACTGAAGTGAAGAGAGGTAAGGTCATGTCAGACATGCGTCAGAGATTTGCTTGCAGGAAAATATGAAGGGCAAATGAGTTTAAGAGAGCAGAGAGCATGTGCAGAGTAGAAAGAAAGAGCAAAGTGTGTGCAGAGGTTGGTAAATAGGCAAGGGTTTATGGTAGAAATATTAATCTGCCAGTATATTGAGTACTGTAAACCATTCCTTTAACATGGCTGTAGTTCTGTTAGATGCATTTAAAAACAATTGCTGTAGTTTTAAAATGAAAATGAGGGTTTGATTTGCAACTCTTATTTATAGCTTTTCAAAAACTACATCTCACAATAACATGTCTATATATATATATTTTTTTTTTCTAAAGTAGCCTGTTTAAGATCATTAAGAACTGGTTAAAATCATTTAGACCATTGGTTGCATTGCGAAAATATTTTCATTATAATTGGAAGCACATTTCCCCCCAAATTCTCATTAACTTAATGTGCTGGGATGTTTTACTTTTGAGTTTATAATTCTCATTATTATCAGTGGAGATTCTTATTAGATTCTCATTACTGTAATACAGTAATATTGTACAATTTAAATATAGATTTCATTCATATTACAGTAACGATACTTTTTTTTTGCATTATGGATAATGGGAATTTAAAAGGGGAATTGCTTTATTGTCATGGAAATAATGTCACAATGCAAAAATGCTCCTAAAAAGCCTCTTGAATCAAAATATAATTTATTATCTGAAATATGACTTGGACATGTTCTTGAAAGTTCTGTGAGATTCAGTGTGTTTGATGGAAACTGAGCTGTATGATGTAGCTGCAAAATACACTGTATGAATGACTTTGTGAAATCTTGCTGAGCAAAATTCAGGTCCACCTTTAAGCACATTAACAGAATTACTAACTTGATTACGATGGAAAGCAACATTGTTTCCTTTTTACACAGGGTAATTTTTATTCCAGTGGTTTCTGTAGTCAATGTCGGAAATGAAACGCCTTAATGTGGCTTAAGAAGGTGAGTCCTTATTTGGATTTCCTCGTTCACATGCTGTGCACTTACTACGCATCAAATTTGAATGGTATGTCTGTTCATTTTGGCATTTCATGAAAAATTCATGTTATTACTTTTTTTGTGATTTTTAGATTTTATTTTTAATTTTTAACCAGAATGGTTTTACTATATTTTCCTTATTTATTGTCATCTGAGATTCTCAAATAAAAATCACTTTACCAATCTATTAAATAGTCTGATTATTATTATTATTATTATCATTTCTTCTTGTTATAGAATAGTGATCTGTAATATTAAATCTATACCTTTTAATTTTGGCGACCCCTGGTGGCTAGTCGCCAGAAACTTACAGGACATTCATAAAGCTTTTGTTGTTGCATATTAGAGCTTAACTTATCGTTACATATTAAAGTTATCTAGTTTAATACAAAATAAATAGACAGTTTACCGGTTAATTTCTTGCCCTCTTTGACATCTCAACCCCATTTGTCAAAATGCGACTCACCGTGTGGTTATTCAAGGACAAGTGCATGATGCGATTTCAATCCAAACGCGAACGGCATGTCCCTCTTCAGCTGCCGTTCACGGACGAACTGTCAAAGCGACAAAAACATCAAGTGCAACAGAGCAAGTATGCAACATACTTCCAGCACCAGACTGCTCTCAAAAGTAACGTTACGTATTGTCTGAAAACATCAAGGATCTTTACGGTCAGCTTGGTTAACCTGTATCTGGCGCCGTGAATATCAGTGAATACGCGCGTGAAGGACGCACAGGCCCAGTGTGTGTACGATGGATTCATGGGTGAGATTCAGCTCGCAGAGTCAAGCCAAAGAACGTGTGTTCAGGTACACAAACACTCACTGCCTGCATGCTTACACCAGTACCACTACATGCTACTGCATGTTTCCTTGACTGCGTGAACTTTGCAGCCTGTTTAGACACTTGAAAGTGCTGCATTGGAAGTTGGAGTCTATAGCTGCTACTTTTTTCCCCATCTACCTAACAATTAATAAAACTAACAACAAAGCACAGTGATATTCACATGTTTTTGGTTATGGTATTGTGCCTTTGAGAACCGGTCCATGTAAATATGGTATATGGATATACAACTCAGTTCAAAATTACCTCCGTAACTTTCATGTGCACTGTAATTATACTATAAAATCATTGTTTACAAAGAAAGAACGAAAATATCACCAACCAGGCATTTGAGCGCAGATGCCACTTGTTATGGTTCCTAATGCAGGGGTTTTCAAACTGGGGTCTCAAAAAAGTTAAAAAATGTATACAAAAGCTGATAGTAATAATAATAAAATAATTTTAGATGTCCTTGGAGTGCAATTATACATTGAAGTACTGAGCAATGTACTTACGATTGGGTTAGGATTAGGGTAGGGTTTGGTTTGGTAATTACAGGTTAGTTGCATGTAATTATGCATACGTATGTGTAACATATGTTACAAGGCCACTGTAAAATAAAGTGTTACCTAAAACTAAATAATTATTACAAAATAAACAGTTACAGAATGACATTATTGCAGTTTTATTCAGATTCCTAATGACTGTTTTTTTAATGCTGAGATTAATGGCTCTAGTTTATTATATTTTATGTTTCTCTTCAGGTTAATATTTCTGGTGGGTAAAAAAGGATACAGTGTCAAATTAATTAAAAGTAAGAAAATAAAGTATTTTTCCTGACAATATTTTACGTATATTTCTAGCATTTTGTTTTTATAAATACATTTACAGTTCTGCTCATACGTTTACATCCCCCTTGCAGAATATGCATTTAGAGCCTGGGGTTGAAACTTTTTGAATTGGAACAAAAAGTGCTATACGGCTATACGGCAGAGTCCGTCAACAGTCGTGGGCGGGGCCTGTACAAAGTATGTAAAACAGCTTATTCAGGATAGTACAAAAAGAATATGACCCTTCTCATTTAAAAAAAATATTATTAGCATATTGGCATATTCTGGCATATTCTGCAAGGGTAGCTATGTAAACTTATGAGCAGAACTATATTTGTATACTTCCCTCACAAAGGGAAAATCATTTTTAGGGGTCCGTTGCATCAACAAGTTTGAAAATCCCTGATCTATTGCAAAGATATTCAGACATTAGTAAGGATGTAACTGTCCAAAATGAATGTTGGTGCAGTGTAAATGCTCATTTTCAATAATTGATTGTGTCTGACTCTGAACAGGGCTGCCCAGTACGCCTGCACACTGCTGGGTTACACGCTGCAGAGAGGAGGAGCCAGACCAGAGCTGCTCAGCACCATTAAACAGCTTGAGGCCCACATGAGCCTGACCAGAAAATGTACGTTTGAGCTCTTCTGCCAGAGGCAGTGGTCAGTAGAATGGGGGTTGGGCACAACTGGCTCTCTTTTGACTTATGGGTTTTGATAAGAGAATTTGAATTGACAGGATGCTGGATTGGAATGGCAGGGGTGGAATTTACTGAATTGCAATTTAAAGAAATTCAGCTCAATCAAGTTTTCATAAGAGAAAGTCCAATGCAAGTTTGCTGTAAAATATAATTAATAACATAATTAACCATGAGAGACACAGCATAGCAGAATAGCAGCGTTTGTAAAATGCATTTAAATAATACCCAATTTTTTATTAAAAAAGGGTAAAAACTACACATAACAGTGGCTGACACTTATCACAATGGTTTGCATATTACAGTAACTGCCATTATCAAATGTATCTATTTGCAATAGAAAAAAAGTAATTTACATTGTATGTATACATATGTATGTATGTATGCGTGTGTGTATGCATGTGTTTATGTATGTATGTGTGTGTGTGTGTGTGTGTGTATGTATGTATGCATGCTCTTGTTTGTGTGTGTAATGTATTCAATTCAATTCAAATTTATTTGTATAGCGCTTGTCACAATACATATTGTTTCAAAGCAGCTTTACAGAAAGTGCATTTCAGAAATGTACATAGAAAAATACAGTTAGTTAATCATGTATTAATTTAGGGCATAACATATCGCCGACGTTGAGTCGTCTCTTCACAGGCGTTTAGTCGTCTCATCGCAGGTGTTGGGGCATCTGAAGTCTCCGTGAGAGGCTGCTGGATACAAACTGGAGCTGACGAACACTATTTACCTCGGGACTAGTGTCTCGAGATAACAGCAGGAAAGCAGATGGGAAATAATTAGCATAGCTGCTGTTCATAATATTAATGCATTCGATCTGATTCAACAGTGGTATAAAAGGTAAACATTATGTGAATGCTTGGCTAAAGAGATGCGTCTTTAATCTAGTTTTAAACTGGGACAGCGAGTCCGAGCCTCGAACAATATCAGGAAGGCTATTCCAGAGTTTAGGAGCTAAATGTGAGAACGCCCTCCCTCCTTTAGTGGATTTAGATATCCTAGGAATGACCAGAAGCCTCGAATTTAGTGATCTTAGAGAACGCGATGGATTGTAGGGCGATAGAAGGTCCATTAAATACACAGGAGCTAGACCATTTAGGGCTTTATAGGTCAGTAGTAATACTTTGTAATTGATACGGAACTTAATAGGTAACCAGTGTAGAGATGATAAAATTGGTGTTATATGATCATATTCTTGAGCTAGTAAGAACTCTAGCAGCTGCATTTTGTACCAATCGTAGCTTGTTTATTGAGGATGCAGGACAACCAGCTAATAAAGCATTACAGTAATCTAGTCTCGAGGTCATGAATGCATGAACTAACTTTTCTGCATCAGAAACAGATAGCATGTTACCGTAGCTTAGCAATGTTTCTAAGGTGGAAAAAGGCTGTTCTTGTAACATATTAAATATGATTTTCGAAAGACAAGTTGCGGTCTAGTATAACACCCAGGGCCCGTATTCATAAAGAATCTTAATGCAAAGAGTATCTTTGCAAAGAGTATCTCCTAGTGACAAAATTCTAAGAAAATTCTTAGAAATGTGGGCGTTTACTCTTAAAATTAAAGAAAAAATCCTAGTTAAGAAAAAAGTCATTCAGAAAGCATCTTAACCCTTAAAAGAGGTCTTAAGGTCAAAATTGTTAGGAGTACGGATGAGGACTTTTAAGAGGCTTAAGAGTTTCTTTAGCAGAGGCGAGATGGCAGAACGATGAAGAGGGAGAAGAAATGTGATGCAGACAATAGATGACAGTGAGTTAATAAGACGCTATAGATGAGATCGTGAAGGGATCATGTTTGGGACTGATCTTATTAGAGACACGCTAATATCTCAGACAGCGCAGGAATGCCATAACGCCAGAAATGAAAGTAATCACTACATTAAGATATTTGGCAAATGGGAAAAGGCAATAAAGCAGCAGTGATTTGGGTCTGTCACAACCTTCTGTAAGCAGTGATCACAAACATTACAGCACTTTCAGAACCTCTTATTGTGTCGCAGTTCATTTAGTTTCCACTGGACATTCCCACCTTGCAGGCTCAAAAAAACTGCAGTTATGAATAGCAGGCTTCCCTGGTGCGCACAAGCAGGGGAATGAACCGTTAATCATTTGCGCTATAAGCTCCCGCGTCCGCTTCTCGCTCCATGCTGTGACACCCGGCCCGAATTTTCCTTTAATGATGGCCTAGTGTTCATCCACTAACTGGGCTAACAGTAAACACGGTTCTTCTGACCAGTCGGGCTTTCTCGTCTTTCTTGATTTTTAATTCATGTTTGCTATATTAAAACAAACATTCAAACCACCACTTAAATAGACTACAATCAGTGTAATTGAAAAGCCAATCATTCTAAGCCAATCAAATACCTTAGGAAATTAACAGCAAGGTAAAAAAAAAGGATTTATACATAAATATAATGTGCGTGTGTGTGTCTGAGTAAACTCTATACTTAAAATGGCTCTTTTTTTCCTTCTTGGACAACCAACCAATCACAGTCTTCAAAAGATTGTGTCATACATAGCAACGGGGTCAACCCCGCCTCCTCACTAAGATGAGAGTTTTTGTCTTTTCCTTACTCAGAGTTGCTCTCAGATCGTTCCCGAATCGCTCTTAAAGGGATAGTTCACCCAAAAATGAAAATTAAGTCATTAATTACTCACCCTCATGTTGTACCAACCCCGTAAGACCTTCGTTCATCTTCGGAACACAAATTAAGATATATTTGATTATATCTGAGAGCTGGATCACTCCTCCATAGGCTTGTTAAGGGAGTGAAACTTGACGGCCCAGAAAGTCATTGAAGAAAATGTTTAAATATTTGTGCCTACAGTGGCTCCACTATAAGTTTATCAAGCGACGAGAATACTTTTTGTGCGGAAAAAAACAAAAATAACGACTTTATTCGACTATTCCATTGCTTCCTTGTGGGCCTGAGACGAGAGTTCAAGTGAAATATTTAAACATTTTCTTCAATGACTTTCTGGGCCGTCAAGTTTCACTCCCTTAGGAAGCCTATGTAGCAGTGATCCAGCTCTCAAATTTAATCAAAACTATCTTAATTTGTGTTCCGAAGATGAACGAAGGTCTTACGGGGTTGGTACAGCATGAGGGTGAGTAATTAATGACTTAATTTTCATTTTTGGGTGAACTATCCCTTTAAGCTAAGACTCCTACTTACAAGTTTTTAAGCTAAATTAAGAGTTTTCTGAGAGGATTCTTAGAATCTTTATGAATACGGGCCCAGGTCTTTTACTGTAGTGGATAAAGTAACAGGACATCCTTCTAAATTAAAGCTGTATTGTAAGAGGTTTTGTGGGTAGTTTTTTGGACCAATAAGTAATACCTCCGTTTTATCTGAATTTAATAGCAGGAAATTACACGTCATCCAGCATTTTATATCTTTAAGACACTCTGTCAATTTAGATGAGTTAGTGTTTTCATCTGGTCATGATGAAATATATAATTTAGTGTCATCAGCATAACAGAGTGGAAATTAATTCCATGTATTCTTATAATATTACCAAGTGGCAGCATATATATTGAGAATAGCAGAGGGCCTAACACCGATCCTTGCGGCACTCCATAGTCTACTGACGTTATCTTCGTTATTTTCCCCATTTAAACAGACAAAATGGTAACGGTCTGATAAGTACGATCTAAACAAGCTTAATGCTTGTCCCTGAACACCAGTGTAGTTTTGTAGTCGATCCAAGAGTATTTTATGATCTATGGTGTCGAACGCAGCGCTAAGATCGAGTAGAACTAGTATTGAGATACAGCCTTGGTCAGAAGCTAAAAGTAAATAATTTATAATTTTAACTAGCGCAGTTTATCTGCTATGATGCGGTCTGAATCCTGACTGAATTTTTTCATAGATATAATTTTCTTGCAAGAAAGAGCACAATTGAGCGGACACAACTTTTTCTAGTATTTTAGACATAAATGGAAGATTTGAAATGGGTCTGTAATTTGCTAGGTTATTTGGATCTAATTGCGGTTTCTTAATGAGAGGTTTTATTACTGCCAGCTTGAATATTATGTATGCATGTGTGTGTGTGTGTGTATGTATATGTATGCATTCATGTGTGTGTTTATGTTTGTATGCATGCATGTGTGTGTATGCATGCTTGTATGTATGTATGCATGTTTGTGTGTATGTATGTATGTGTATCAATGTATCAATGACATTTTACAACCCTAAATGCCCAGCATTGCAATTTTTACATAATTATTTTCTACATTAAACCCCAATGTAATTTTTGCCTTAATGAAATATAGCTAATATCTTCCTAAAGATATTAAAGGGTCTCTGAGGGTTAATTTAGACTTATTATGCCTACTAATACTAGTGGTCCATAAAGTGGCTAATCCATAAAGTTGGCTAATCTCTTTTCGCTCACAGAATCTAGTTATGTTAATATGGCTCAGTGTTTGATTGATGCAGTCTGTCCGTGTGTTTGTCTCAGTGATGCGGTTAGGGAACTCCGCTGAGGCTCTGGAAGCAGCGAAACGCACTGTGCATCTGTCCGACTGTGTGCTGCGTCTCTGCATCACAGTGGCCCATCTCAACAGAGCTATGTATTTTGCCTGTGATAATGTACTGTGGGCCGGCAAAACAGGACTGCTGCCCGAACTGGACCAAAACAAATGGAGCCAGAGGTCGTTTAGGTAAGTGCTAGTTTCATTTGTTTTCTTTGCAAAATTAAATTTTTAAACTATTTCCTATTCTATCTATCTATCTATCTATCTATCTATCTATCTATCTATCTATCTATCTATCTATCTATCTATCTATCTATCTATCTATCTATCTATCTATCTATCTATCTATCTATCTATCTATCTATCTATCTATCTGTCTGTCTGTCTGTCTGTCTGTCTATATATATACACTCACCTAAAGGATTATTAGGAACACCTGTTCAATTTCTCATTAATGCAATTATCTAATCAACCAATCACATGGCAGTTGCTTCATTTAGGGGTGTGGTCCTGGTCAAGACAATCTCCTGAACTCCAAACTGAATGTCAGAATGGGAAAGAAAGGTGATTTAAGCAATTTTGAGCGTGGCATGGTTGTTGGTGCCAGACGGGCCGGTCTGAGTATTTCACAATCTGCTCAGTTACTGGGATTTTCACACACAACCATTTCTAGGGTTTACAAAGAATGGTGTGAAAAGGGAAAAACATCCAGTATGCGGCAGTCCTGTGGGCGAAGATGCCTTGTTGATGCTAGAGGTCAGAGGAGAATTGGCCAACTGATTCAAGCTGATAGAAGAGCAACTTTGACTGAAATAACCACTCGTTACAACCGAGGTATGCAGCAAAGCATTTGTGAAGCCACAACACGCACAACCTTGAGGCGGATGGGCTACAACAGCAGAAGATCCCACCGGGTACCACTCATCTCCACTACAAATAGGAAAAAGAGGCTACAATTTGCAAGAGCTCACCAAAATTGGAGAGTTGAAGACTGGAAAAATGTTGCCTGGTCTGATGAGTCTCGATTTCTGTTGAGACATTCAGATGGTAGAGTCCGAATTTGGCGTAAACAGAATGAGAACATGAATCCATCATGCCTTGTTACCATTGTGCAGGCTGGTGGTGGTGGTGTAATGGTGTGGGGGAGGTTTTCTTGGCACACTTTAGGCCCCTTAGTGCCAATTGGGCATCATTTAAATGCCACGGCCTACCTGAGCATTGTTTCTGACCATGTCCATCCCTTTATGGCCACCATGTACCCATCCTCTGATGGCTACTTCTAGCAGGAGAATGCACCATGTCACAAAGCTCGAATCATTTCAAATTGGTTTCTTGAACATGACAATGAGTTCACTGTACTAAAATGGCCCCCACAGTCACCAGATCTCAACCCAATAGAGCATCTTTGGGATGTGGTGGAACGGGAGCTTCGTGCCCTGGATGTGCATCCCACAAATCTCCATCAACTGCAAGATGCTATCCTATCAATATGGGCCAACATTTCTAAAGAATGCTTTCAGCACCTTGTTGAATCAATGCCACGTAGAATTAAGGCAGTTCTGAAGGCAAAAGGGGATCAAACACAGTATTAGTATGGTGTTCCTAATAATCTTTTAGGTGAGTGTATGTACTGTATGTGTGTGTGTATTTTAGTGTTGATATACTGTTATAGTTTTTTTTTTATTAATATTTTGAATTAGATTTAAGTTTTCTGTTTTCAATTGAATTTTAGTTAGTTTTAAGGTCCTTGAATTTTTGCACGTTAAAAAATAGCAGATTACGCTTACACACTGCCTCCGAAACTTTCATCCGTCATAAAAAAATTCGGATGGGGTTCGATTTTCTGCGTTTTTCGCATCCATAGCAAGCATTTTGAGAGTTTTGACAATTCAGAGCCACCGAATGACGCATACGAAAAAACGCATGCGAAAATTTCGGACTCAGTGTGCAAGGACCTTTAGTCGTTTTGTTGTGTGTTTGTCTTTTTTTCTTTTTTTTTCATCTTTTTTTTAAATATGCCTGTATAGTTTTTAAACATTTTTATTTCAGTGTTAGTTTTAGTACATCAGGTAAACTTAATAAGAATATAAATAAGTTTATATATATATATATATATATTATAATTTTTTAAGTTTATTTTATAATTTATTTTATATTTTTTTTAGTTTTATGTAACGATAATAATGATAATACACACATTAAATTAGGCTTTGCATGTGAAAATTTAATTCACTTCTGTGAATTTGCATCACACTGTTTTACTAAAATATGATGATGGCTGGATATATAATTATTTTGATCACAGTGCGAAATGTTTTTATTTTTATTGTTTAATTTAATAACCTGACTCTCTCTCGCTTCCTGTAAACAGATACTATTTGTTCGCACTCATCCTCAATTTAACCCGAGACGCGTATGAAATCCGTCTGCTGATGGAGAGAGAGTCCCGCAGCAGTTCAGCTAAAAGCTTTAACTCCAGTCCGTCTTCCCTCGCGCCGACCCCAGAGAACGGAGAGTTCCCTTTAACCCCGTCTCCTTCCTCAGCGACGTCTCCCCTGCCTCCCCTCCCGATGCTCACGGCCAGGCTCAACAAGCAGTTCTGTCTCTTGATCACTGTGCTGCGCAACAACCCTCCGCTGCTCCTGGACCTCCTGAAGAACCTGTGTGACGTGTTCATACCCCTGGACCGGCTGGGTTTGTACCCCACGGGGTCGGGCTTTGTGGGAGCCTGCGGCCTCACGTCCTCTATCCTGTCCATTCTCACTATAGTTCACCCCTGGCTCAAACTCAAGCCCTGAGTGACACATCACAACTACATATCCTGTTGCTTTGTTTCTAAAGAGAACCTCTCTTGAGGTTGTGTTGATAATGGGAAGAAGAATGTTTGCTCCTGTATACCAGTTTAATTGCACATTCAAAACCGTTGTTCTGTGTGGAAAAACTAAAAACAAGATCTGGCCTAATCTGATTAAAACAAACAAAAAAGCTTTGTTAAACAGTTATTAAAGTCTGTTTAAAGGAATGTAAATCTGAACATGTCCTAGTCTGTCACCATATAACGGTGTAGTTTTCAGTTCTAGTGTAGTAAAAGCACAGAACTACAAATGGTACGCTTACTATTCAGAATTATACCTTTCTCTTAAGGGTGAGTCACGTGAAGAAATGTCAAGGTCAGTTTTCATCCCAAAATGAAAAGTTTTATAAATTAAATCTAGTACAATAAATACTATCATGACCTTTACAAATGTAAAGCAAAAAAAAAAAAAAAGCATTAACCTTGAGTAAGACTGTTAAAAGATTTGTTAAAAAATCACCCAGCTAATTATTATTATATATATATTTTTAAACGGTTCTCATGAAATTCACCCTAAATTACAGAGCTTAAAACATTTGCAAATCCTTTTGTGTCAAAAACTGTGCTTACCAAACATTATTGCACAGTGATAAAACGGTTACGTTTAAAAATAATTGTTTTGATCCAGTGGATTATTTCTAAATCTGTATCTGTTTGAAGCTGTTTCTTGCTTTTCACTTCCTGCAGTTGTGAACCTCGGCATTTTGTTACCAAACTCATTTCAAAACTAGGAGTTTACTACTTTTTTGTTGTTGTTGTTGTTGTGATTAATGAAATATCAACCAAAAAAGATTTGAAAATGATACAATAATTTAGGTTATTGCATAATTTTTCTTAACTGAATAAAAACTGCATCACTGCATCACTGTTATTTAGATTTTTTTTATTTAATTGTGAGCCTTGAGCCAGGAGCTTATGTATATGTGACCTATGGACTATTTTCTTTTAAACTTAACCATATTTTGAAACTTCCTAAATACTATGCACCACTGAATGTCGACATGATGGAGCTGTGAATCTAACTTTTGAAATAAATAATGCCTTGAATTTTATTATTCTCTTCTCTGACTTTCCCCTAGTTTTCCTTGTGCATTAAATCTCAACCATTTTAAACATTTTATCGAATCAAAGTTCCTTGAACTTTCTGGCTGGAGTCAAAGCTGTTATTTGAAGCCCATCAATGATTAATCCGTTCTTGTGTTGAATCACTGCATTGCCGTTTCTTGCTATGCAGCATCTCACCACTAGAGGGAAACATAACACAACATTTACTACCGGAAACATGAAATCGTTTTAGTAGGCACTGCAGCTTTCTGACAAGAAAATAAGATAAACAGACCGAATAGTTTATTAAGTACTCAAATACTTTTTGTTTTGTTGATTTGAAATGATTAAGATAAGCATTGCTAAGTGTGAAATTATAGTCCTGAATTCATGAATTGCATAAAAAATCTCCAAACTAAAACCATTTAAACTGAGCTTAAAACTGCTATAGTGTTTAATATTGATCACATGCTTATGCATTGTCCTTATGGAAGTTTGTAACTGATGTGTTTAATGGCACAGACTGAAAGCACATTCCCTCCTGCTGTGAAAGCTGCGGTGGGGGTCTGTCCTCCTACTCTTTCATTAGTTACATCACACTGATTCAGATGCTGTGTCACTCCCACATGGCTGCATTTTTGCATTACCCCCCAAACCTCTCGTTCTCTCTATCAGGATCAGAATCACTTTTAATTATCCAGAAGCCTACATGTTTTCTATACTGGGCAGCATGTAGATTCTCTAGAGAGGGCGTTGGTGGAACAGTTATATGAAATGCTAGGAACACATGTCTTGATTTTTGTATTGATTTTGAGTGTTTTCAGTAGGAAGCTAATGACATAAATGATGACCAGGATGTGAAGGGGGTAAGAGTGGTCATCAAAACCACCCACAGTCACCCACAACAGATGCTCTCTTGCTCTAGGTTTCTGTTTATATCTCATTCTACATCCTTGCTTATCAGGCTATACTCTTTCTAGTTTTGTTTTTCTCTTTTACCTGGTACATAAACAGCCCCTCTTTATACCAAGTGTTTTTAACTCCTATATACTAACATTTAAATTAATCATAGTGTGATATGATGTGATAATGTACACTTATTGTGTAAATGCTTGTTTTTATGTTGAACTTGTACTTAAAGGGGTCATATAATGGTACATGCACTTTTACAAGTTGATTGTACTGAAATGTGTGTTGGCAGTGCCTGTACACAACCATCATAAAATGATAAAAATCCATCCAGTGTTTTTGTTTTAATCTCCTTATATGTTTTCCCCTGCCTCAAATTGAGCCGTTTGATTTTGTGACGTCACGCTCGGAAGCCCCTCCCACGATTAATGATTGACAGCATCGTTTCAACACAGACCCGCCCTCGCTCGTGAGAGCTGCATGTCAATCATAGTCTGCACGACCGGCGCGGTCATTGTTGATATGCTGGAGCACTGTCTATGAGCAGAATGGCGTCTAAGCGATTGTGGTGTTCTGTTCTTGGGTGTAATAACGAACACAGCAGTCATTTTAATGTTCCTAAATCCGAACCGCTGAAGACGCAGTGGCTGAGTTTGTTTTCGAAGGGAATATTTCCCACGAGCAACGTCAATGCTCTCATGTTTGCACGAATCATTTCTCACCAGACTACTTTATAAACGAGGGTCAGTATGAGCTGGTTTTGCTAAGAAGCTGCTCATGAAAAAAGGATCGGTACCAGCTATTCGTGTTCCTGCTGAACCTCTAGAACAACTGAAGTGAGTGTAGCGTTTTATTAAACTTTATATTAATATTTATATTCATCTTTGCAAATCGCTAGCTGCACGCTTCACAATGAATGCGTCTAAGGTTTACACTTAGGGTACATTACGGCATGTTTTCTATGTATGATGTTCTCAATATAATTCATAATCCCACGTTTATACTGAACAACGCGTTATGGTTATTGTGTTATTGTGTTACAAACGATGTACACACAGAACAGAGAGGCGGGATGAGCAAAGCTCATTATCATTTAAAGTCATATGCACTGAAACGGCGTGCTGAAAACAGAGCTGTTTTTGACCAGGTAAAATAAGTGTTTTCTTACAATACTAATGAGAATTTTTAATTAAAGTATATTACAAACTTTTAATTTAGACCCTAAAGAATCATACTAGCTTGTACAAAAATGGCATTATATGACCCCTTTAAAAATACCTGCATGTTATTACATCCACACTCTTAAAATAAGGGTTCACAATGTTATTTTTTTTATCATTATTTTTTTACAGTGATGCCATAGAATAACTATAGACTTGTGTACGACCATTACCAGGAGACAGTGATTATAGTTTAAAATGTATACAACATGCACACAATAATACATCGTACCAAACTTTTTTTTTTCAAACTCAAGTACATTGTACAGTAGTTAAAGATGGGACCACATAAACTATTATCGTGTTGGCTCCCACAATGTGGTCTAAGAGACACTGAATGTGATTGAGATCAGCACTTCTAGTGAGGTCCAGGTCTGAGTCTCAGACATTTACACCCCACCAGCAAAGATCTGGACACACACAGTGCCACAGACAGTAACATTAAACCAGGACACACACCATTTTTGATAAAGATGATGAGAGAGAGGATGAGTAATGTCTGGCTCGTCCCAACAGTGCAAGTCTTCATGAATCTGTGCCAAGAGCTTAATACTGTGTTAATAGACAACTGATTGTCTCTGAACTCCTTACATAAGCTCAAGTTTGACCTCTTAAACCAATCACATCATCGCCTAACAAGGTGGTCTATCCCCCAAAAATACTGTCAAATGGGCATTAAAAAGATACTTTGACAGAGGTTAGAAATCCAAATGGACTTAAGGCAATTTTTAAATAATCTTAAATTAATTTTAAAATCCTAATTAAAAAAAAAAATCATGGAAAAGTTATGGAAATCAATATCAATAAAAAAATGTTTTTAGTTACACTCAGCTCTAAATTATTCGATCAGCTAGAAATTGCTCTTTATCAGTGGAATGTCTATAAAATGATTATTCTTTCATTCATTATATTTTATTTGAATTGTTTTGGTTTGTTTGAAAAGGACTAAAGGGACTAAATTCATGGACAAGTCAAGGAAAACATGTTGTGTAAATCAACAACAATATATTTTTTTCTACTAAAGCTTAGCTCGAAATTATATTATCATCTAGAAATTGCTCTTTGTCAGTGCAATAAAATAATATGGATTTACTTACTTTACTCACTTCAAACATACACATTTTACAAATCCTTCTTTCTTCTGTAATCATAAATCACAAAAATCAAGTCATGGAATTATTTTAGTTTAGTGTTAAGATTTCAATTTCAACTTAAGAGGTTAAGTTGAAATTAAAATGTTTAATATGAAAATTAATACTCTCTCTCTCTCTCTCTCTCTCTCTCTCTCTCTCTCTCTCTCTCTCTCTCTCTCTCTCTCTCTCTCTCTCTCTCTCTCTCTCTCTCTCTCTCTCTCTCTCTCTCTCTCTCTCTCTCTATATATATATATATATATATATAGTTTTTCTAATTTGCTCAGTTCTAACTTATTTAATCAGGAATTCCATCCATCCATCCATCCATCCATCCATCTATCCATCCATCCGAGAACCCTAAATATTGTTTAACTAACTTTTCTGGAAAGAATTTCGGAGTCATTATGTCCTTCCCATGAGTATTCCCTACACAGATCATTTTATGATACACTTCTTTGACTGGACTTCCCCACCTCACACTGTATATTGTCCTATAAGGTCATATTATCTATCCCTCCTGAACAATAATCAGCCCTGAGGTCTGTGGTTTATCTTTTGTCGAGAGCTGATTCATACAGAAAGTGTTTCAGTGGACGGATCATGTGTCTTTATTATGCACACAATCCTATCAGATGTGTGAGATGATTGGGATCAGCCCTCATGTCCTGTGCTCGCATGAACCGGATACG